AACTCAGCAGCCGAAACGGCTAGAAACATTCACTCAGTTTATGGAGAGGAATGTGTGAATGAAAGAACTTGCAGAAGATGGTTTGCAAAATTCAAAGGTGGAGATTTCACCCTGGAAGATGAAGATCGAACCGGACGTCCAGTTGAGTTTGATGAAAAGCTTCTTGAAGCAGCACTTGAAGAAAATTCTGCTTTATCAGTTGAGGAATTGGCAGTGGTTCTCAGTTCAAACCATACAACTGTTCATCGTCATCTTTAACAACTTGGAAAAGTTCCTAAACTTGGAAAATGGGTTCCTCATGAATTTTCTGAAAACAACCTCAAATCCCGAGTTGACATCTGCTCTTCTCTCCATTCTCGCCAACTTGTTTCACCTTTTTTGGATAGACTTGAGACTGGTGACGAAAAATGAATCATTTATCGAAATGTTAAGCGTCGTAGACAGTGGCTTGGTAAAGGGGAAGACCCCAGCCACAGCCGAGAAGGGATCTTTATGGGCAAAAGGTTCTTCTTTCAATCTGGTGGGATCGCAAAGGAATAATCCACTTTGAATTCTTACCACCTAATGCAACAATTAATGCTGAAATATACTGTCAGCAATTAGAGGGTTTGAACCAAGCTTTGAGGAAAAAAGACCTGCTCTAGTGAATCGAAAAGAGGTGATGTTTCATCAGGACAATTTGCGACCCCACACAGCAAGAATCACGTTACAAAAGATCGAAGAACTTGGTTGGGAGAAAATTCCTCATCCACCTTATTCTCCCGATCTTGCTCCTTCAGACTACCATTTGTTTCGTAGCTTACAGAATCATTTGGATGAAACAGCTTTTGTAACACAGGAAGAGGTTAAAACTGACATTTGTGAGTTCTTCGAATCAAAGCCAAAAGTTCTGACTCTTCACTAGAGGAGCGGACCAGTATTCCAATAGATAATCTGATGGAGATGTTGACTTTCTGTACACAAACAACACACTCCGGAATGGGAAGTTGCAATATGAACACTAGTAAAGACATGAAATGATAACAGCAAAATTGCAATATGAGTACTGGTAAAAAATAATGCTGAAAACATTAGGTTTATAATACTCAGAAGTTCATGCCCAGATGTCCTCAAGGACACATGGCACAGTGGATAAAGGCGTTGGTTAGATCCAGTGACAGACCCAAAGAAGGTGAGTTCAATAGAGAACTTTCAGAGGGAAAATTAGCAGGAGATAACGGATAACTGACATCCATCAAACATGGCACGTGGAACTAGAACAGTCTACCCCAGCAAATGAGCGAAATAAAGGTTCAGTTCAAAATTCCAACCACCTGAAGAAGGCCGGAGCGTACAACGGCCGAAACGTTGTGACAAATATGGCGACAAAGATGAGGACAATAGTCCGACTAATGTAAATACTGTACATAATACCTCATCTCAGAAATATAGACAGATAGTATATCTACTATTCATTTTCTAGTATGGTATGATATTTACTGACTGTTGGATGTATGAAATATGTTAGGGTTAGGGTTAAGTGAACTGGTTATGTATTAAAAATCATTAACAGTTTTTTATACAAAATATTTTAAAATCATCAAATGGGCATTTTAATACTTGTAAACTGTTTTGATGTTATTTAATAACAAAAAAATTACCCAGGTCATTGTTTTTCCTTAACATTTTTCCAGCAATAATAAGTGCATCATTTACGGTAGGTCACAAATGTCTCGTAGTTATATAATAGTTCCCTGATATCTCACTTTATCAAATATCTTGCATATAAACCTTTCTGCATTTCTAGTGCCCATTCTGATTCAATCTGGTAATAAAAAAATTACATTTCTTGTTACAGAATTTTAAATAAAGCCAACTTATTCTTGCCACCTTTTCTGGTCTAATTCTGTTACGATATTTATTCATGAGAATATAATTATTTGCCTCATTAGTTTGACCGGGTTCGCATTCATATTCATCTGATTTATTTGGCAGCATTATGAGATCGAACATTTTACGCTGTCATACATTTCATTAATCATAAATTTAATCATATCACTCTCCTTCCATGTTTTTTTTTTGTTTTGTTTTCATGTATTTTAGGTCTGTCTACTTTATTGCCATCAAAGAGTTTTGTGTTCCTTCCATCTCTGTAGTATCTTTTATTCTTCCATGATTCTACTTTTTTTAAATTTTGGATAACCAACTGAAGAGCATGTTTCTTTTATCATTTTGTACATGCCTACTACATCTGTGTCCAGCAGTTTTCTCCTTTCTGTACACATTTTTCATTATGCCCTTGTTCGTTTTTAATATATTTATTTTGATTTGTTTGTTTAAAATCATTTCTTTCTTCAGAAGGTTATTGATTCCATTTCTTCCGTCAACACCGACAAGGCATCTTTAAAAAAACAACGAAACACAACGTACTTGTTTCCTGTCGGGACAGTTAGGGTGTGGCTACATTTGTTTAATGCGCCTTTTTCAGCACAAGACAGACTGTCATTCCCCAATGTTTTACGATTGTCCGACTAACAAAAGGTGAATTCCAAATAATATACCTATTTTATAGAAAATCTTCATTCGTTTATATATATATATATATATATATATATATATATATATATATATATATATATATATATATATATATACACTATATTTATATGTATATATATATACATTTACATGGATCATTTTTATAGAGGAAATTTACAAATTTAATAGCAATAGAAAATGTCTGTATAGCTTCCATATCAGTGAGGAGATTTTCCTGCATTGTTTTTCATAAATGATATTAGATATTCCATAAGTGCCCAATACTCTTGTTTTTGTCACTAAATTCGTTTTCCTGTTTCCTTACTCTGCTTAGTTTCTGTAAGACATCTTTCTATATTTCTACGCGCCTGATACAAATTTGCGAATTCTTTCATCTAGTATGTTTACTGTATTCACACGTTAAACGTTCTTAAATGATTCTTTTATTTTTATTTTTTTTATTTATTTATTTTGTAAATATCACTAGTGTAGACTTTCATCAGTGTAGGCTTTCGTTTAAAACTGATATTGAACATAAGCGTAGATATATGTGTTTTTTTTTTTCAATTTGGGCAGGAGTTAATTAGCCAAACTCTAAGTAATTAGCCCATGTTTCTTTCAGTAAAATTTGTTTCGTTCAACGCGTACTAAGTAGCTCCACATTTCGCAGAAGGGGAGACACAAATGCGCAATTTGAAATTATAAACAAGCATATTGAATAGAGGCAGATATTCATTAACTGATCGATTAAATTTCCTCGGAAATAAGTATCAGTTATTTTTTTATTTGGAATTATATTTTGGTTTTCTTTGTCCTATAATTATTGGAGGTTGAGGCTAATGGCGCTTGTCTCTAGATAACATTTTTGTTGTTAATTTAGAATTCTTGAATTTTAATGATTTTCGCTTGCTACGGAATATTGTAATTTTTTAGAAAATTTTATTAGCATCTTTTTTTTTGTTGTTTGTTAACTTTTGGGGTTTTATTTGTTCTTTTTGTAAGACTCTAATACAAGGAATTTAAGTTTATTGGAAAATTACTGTTATGAACTAACGGAGAATTATACAAATAGAAATATTCAACAAATACATATACAGAAATCTATACATACGCCTATTTTCTCTCTCTCTCCCTCTCTCCCTCTCCCTCTCTCTCTCTCTCTCTCTATATATATATATATATATATATATATATATATATATATATATATATATATATATCTTCCACACTATATTATTCTTTTCTCCCTTTGATACTCTCTGCCACCCACTTCTATCTCGAAGTTATGATGATTTTCTAAGCCTAGCTTGGACGTGGCACAAGGCCGAATGGATGAAGCATCTACTAAGGATTGAACTCACTATTCAGTCTCTAATTGATCTAGCGAGACATGCTTGCACGACGTCGAATTGCCCAGAGATTTAATAAGCATCGGCCAGAAGTATATAACACTCAGTGAGGATCGTTGTGATTTTCTAAGCGTAGCTTTGATGTGGTACAAGGCCGAAGACATGGGCGCTCAGTAAGGATGGAACTTACTACTCAGTCATAATTGATCTTTCGGAATGAGTTTCGTAACAACTCCATCATGTCGAAGTAACCAGTGATTTATTAAGCGTAGCTCAGTTATGGCACAAGGCTGAATATATGGAGCATTAGGCCGAAATCACGAGGAATCGAGTAAGGAACGAAGCTACAATTCAGTCGTAATTAATCTAGCGAGACAAGCTTGCTAAACATTACACAGCGTCGAAATACCCAAGGTGATTTTCTAAATAGTAGCTTAGATGTGGTACAAGGCTGAAATTATGGAGCACCCAATGAGGCTCGAACTCACTACTCGGTCGCTTGTTAACCATTACACCACGCGGAGGTGTCCCGAATCTCGCATCTATGCATTTGTTTTCTTTCTCCCACACTATTTATAGTTTTCTTATATATATATATATATATATTAATTTTATATATATATATATATATATATTCTTATATATATATATATATATATTAATTATTTTTAATATTACACGTATTTAAAGATCTAAATAGCTATAATAGCAGGATTTTGTTGTTTTTTTTTGAATCTTTCTGTACTTCGTTTTGATTGGTTATTCTAGCTTTTGTAACAATGCTCCCCTAGTGTAGGATCGTTAATTCATCTGAAACTTTTAAAACTATTTATTTTCTTTTCAACACCATCACTTGATAAGACACAGAGTGTGTTGAAACAAAATGGCTATTTTTTAGTGATTTTATAACATACTTATGTTATAAATTTTTATAAAATAATTATATATATATATATATATATATATCCCAACACTTTTTATATCTTTCTGTCATCTGTCCCACACTCTATCTCTCTCTCTCTCTCTCCCTTCACTCATAATTGATCTTTCGGAACGAGTTTCGTAACCATTGCATCATGTCGAAGTGACCAGTGATTTATTAAGGTAGCTCAGTTGTGGCACAAGGCTGAATAT